AAAGGTTGCAGAGTCCAGTAAAAGTAGAAAATACCTAGCACTAATATAAGATTAAATGGAAAAGAAGCCCACAAGGGAAAGAATTTTTCCTTCTTTTCCAGCAATAGTTAAACTAAATGGAAAAGATCCCTTTCCAAATAAAGATAACGAGATGTTGATATCATATCCCAAAATTTGCCATTCCTCCTCATTTGATTCACCTGACTTATGGTTTTGTTATTTGCATACATATTTCTATTCGATCATGAACTTAGGTCATTCATTGACATTTGCATATTGAAACAAGTTTCGGTCAAAGGTTCGGTGATAATGGATGTAATCAGTTTAAGTGGAATTTCAAGGCGGATATTATTTTGTAATTATTTGGATTTATTTCCCCTATTAATTATGGTACAAATCATCTCTTTATTTTATATTCATGGCCAGCAAGGAGATTGGGATGATTGTCACTTAATTCAGAAGTTTGCTTGGATTCAAAGAAAAAGACAAAGTTGAAATAAAAAGAAGATTTCATCCATTTATTGGAAATTCATGGTACAATACATATTTTTTGAGATAAAAATCAAAAGAATGGATTACAAGGAAAAAGGGTTAAAAAAATTACATCTTTTGGGCACAGTTAACTTTTAGGTTAAATAGTTGACTTTTTCGTTAACTGTTGACTTTTGGTCAACTGTCGACCATTGACTCGATTTTGCCTCCCTAAATTTTCCTAGACCTATTCTACAAGTCTTTGATCAAGAGATTCATCATCATTCATCACAAATAACCTATGTCATGATTATGTTAAATGCTAATTCTTAACAAATTCTATCTTCCATCAAGCTTCACTTCCATGGCTTGTTTTTCGACACTTTCTAACATTATGTCAAAATTGAATTACAATTGAAAAGTGTCAAAATGGTAAATTGTCATTAACATAGTTATGATATAGAAAATTTGAATCGAAAACTTAAAGAGGAAATTCAGCCTTAATTTTCTCAAGATGTTGTTTTGCTAGTCTGATTTTGGTGTCATACATGGAATCTTCAAACTTTAGTTTTTAAAATTCCTCATCCAGCACACAAGCAGCATTAACATACTGAAGACTAAAGTCGGCTTCCTGAACCATATTTTTGTCAATAGAGGTCACTCTTGCGGTTTCTATTTCAGTTTTCTTTCGTCTCTCTTCTTTAATCTTTAGTTGTAGCTCTTACACCTGCTTCGTCCAACTTTAAATGTTTGCAACGCAAACTGCCACTTGATCCTTGCCTTCAGCTCAATAATTTGACTTTAAGTTGAGTGATTAAGGTCCATTGTTGAGACATGATGGTAGTATATTGTTTGAGTCTGTCAACAGATTCTTTCCTTATTTTGATGTTCTGAGTAGTTTGCTCAAGAAATTGCTCAAACTCATGGATAAAGTCGACAAAATAATCAGGTGTGTTTGGAGTATTGAGATGTTTCAACAAGGTTTTGATATCATAGACAACAACAAAGTTGTCTTCAATGGTCTTAAATAGATCCATATCGAAAAGCTTCGCTTGTTAGTTGTTGAACCAGCATAACATAAGAGTTACCAGAAGGCTTATTGCCTTAATCAGTTGAGGAGCTTGGAGAATTGTTGATTGGGCCAATTAAGTGAGGGTCAGAGTTATTAGCCTCTGAACTAGGTGATTGTTGTTCAGGATCTGGGGTTTTTGGAGGTGTTTGTTGTTTAGAGTTTTGGTTCTCTAGATTGGACTGTTGTGAAATATTTTGATCTTTAACTACTTATTTTGGTTGTTCAACAATTTTTTCCTCGATTGGATTTTCAGCGGTTGGTTGTGGCGATGGAAGTATAACAGAAATAGGTTGGTCATATGAAGGAACGAGAAGTCAAATGATGTAATAGAGTTGGAAGGTGTAAGTAGAAAGGGAGATATAAATGAAACCCATAGTATCTTAGATATCTTGAATCCAATACTAGAGTTTGTGTGAACTCTCTTAAGGAGTGGGCTGCCTTTGGCGTTTTATTTTCTTGTGGGTTAACTGAGATTCTTCTCCTTCTTTTTTATCCTCGTCACCAATAGTAAAAACAGATTCCTTTCTTGATTATTTTTTTGTGAATTAGCCTCAAAAGCTTGGCGTTTTGTTTTCTTTTTCTTGGTTTGTCAAAGTGTTGAAGTTTCAACAACAACTTCTTTATTTTTTTTTGACGCTCCAACATCATCTGGCCAACCACTTAGATATTTGGAAAGCATGGGTTAAGTGGAAACTAAACTTTCATAACTTTTATTAGTGGACTCGAGTTCTTTTTTTCTTCTTGAACTCTCTGTTCATACTGAATCATGTATCATTCTTAGTATAATAAAGAATGAATGTGAAGAAATAAAAGAGTGGAAAAGTGGTTTAAACTTGTGTTCCTTCACTATCAAGTACGACATATGCTTTATCTTTCTTTTCCTTTTTTGGGGTAGATGTGGTAGTAGTAAAACCACTTCTTCGTTTTCGACTCTAGAAAAAGAATAAGAATAAGCAAGGGAGAAAGCAAGACTTACTATCAAAAGAAAGAGCAAAGGTCTAGCAAATATACTTGTTTTGTTTCTTTTAGTTTGTCGGTTTCTTTGACATAATTGATTTTTTCAACTCCTTTGTTTTTCAGTCTCTTTGGGACAAGAGGTATAGCTGCAAGATTTTGACACAAGTTAATAAAAGAAAATATAAAGTGAAGTTAGTGAATTTTACAAGTCCATTTACCTCACCTTCTTGGATGGTGGATCTAATTCGAATGTGTTCAATATCAATGTTGAGAAACCCTATGTAATATGCATATCATACTTAGTCGAAACTACTTTTTAAGGGAGTTTGTTAAATTTACTTTCCCAGGATGATACGGATCCACAATGATACCATTTTGGAAATGGTGGCCAAAAAGTCAAGTCAAATTCACAAGTTAGTAATAGTGAAAGTTTGAAAAAGTAAAATTTCAAAGCAAAATCATATTTATCTTTTATATAAGAAGGAAAATGAAATTTAGGAATTTTTTCAGTTATTTTTTGTTTCAAAGTAGAAGTTGCATCAAAGATAGTTCGACTGAGTTTACAATGATTATACACAGTTTTAAAGTAAATTTGAAAAGTTTGAATTTTCTTGATGTGCGTACCTCGACTTTTCTTCCATTTATTATGCAGAGAGAAAAAAAGTGTTTGTAAAACGTTGCATAAGAATAGAATGATCCCAGAAACATCAAGAAGATAAGTCGGCCATCATTCTTCAAATTTTTGTTGCATAAATAAGAAGCTTGAAATTTGAAAAGGGTTAGAGTAAGGATTTCTTTGGCATGAAAGTCTAAATATGCTCGACAGTTTTCCTCCAACAGTGTAGTGGTGGCCAAATATATTTCGTCCTTATGAATAAAAAATTGGTTAAAGTAAAATTGTCAGATTTGATCAATATGACAAGTGTTGCAGTTATAACATCAAAGGACCCAAAAAAATATGAGTGTCAAAAGTAGAAAAATCAAACTATGATACAGATATTGAAACCAATAGTTACTCTTAAAGTGATATAACTGAAAAAATAAATGTTTTATTATTTCACTCATCTGAGGAAAGAAATCTCTTTGCACAATAATAATAAAATAACAAGACAAAATCTTTGAAATTTTTATTTTTTACAAGATACCTAGTCCTACCATTTGGTTGTTCAAATTAACTATTGTTTTATTGCACAAATTACTTAGTATTAAGTTGTGTAACAAAGATAATAAAGTATATTTAATTTACTTAGTATTAAGCTCTATAACAAAGATAATAAAAGATGTTTAATTGCTCTAGTCTACAAAAACCTTAAATAAATTCTTTTTAAAACTTCATTTCGAAAACATTATGACTATAAAAAAATTCATACACATTACTTTTGGTGAATTAATCCCTAGTAGAAATAGTAGAAATAAAGGTTGTTAATTTTGGAGGTATCCCTTAAAGAACATCAAAAGAAAGAAAAATATCAAAGACAAAAAAAAGTCTAAAGTCCGAATTGAGAAATTCAAATGAAAGAAGAAGTCAACTTAAAAAATCAATGTCTAACTATAAGACCATTAAAGACCATTCCATTCAATTCAAAATGTTAATGAATATATTTCTAAGAGAATTAGATCTCAACACTCCTTTAGCAACATCCGTATCCATGTGACTTTTATTTTACAAATTGAAACAAAGAAAATTAATGAAACTATAAACGAAAAACACTAGTCTCTTACTATACAAAAAAAAGGTTAATTCAATTTGAGGGAATCAACATTTAGGAATTCATTCAATTAAGTGATTGGTATCTTAGTTGATCTCAATAAATATTTCAAATTCTCGGGAAGGGTGCACTCATCACCTCGATAAATATGGGGAATTCGTCAAGCCCTTCATATTTGATCTTTATCAGATACACCGGAGTCTTTCTATTGAAATCACACAGTCCTATTGAACTCACCGCAAAGGGAACAAATACTATTTGCTCCCTCCCTCTCAATGAAACTGCCAAGATCAAAAGTACAAGATCAATTACATGTTCCCTCTCACGAGCATATAACTTAATCTTCTTAGTTTTTTCAATAATCTCATTGACGTAGCTTATATAGCTTTTTTATCTCAATTTATGACATCGTCAAAAGAAAAAAACGTAGATATTAATTTTACAGTTTTTTCATGTCATTAAACATCTACAGCCAAGTTCAAAGTTTACTGAGCACTCAAGTTCAATCATCTAACATTTCTATTATCTACTATCAATCATCAATTAGCCTCTCGCTAGGTAAGCTCATCAAATATCCATTATAGATCAAGACACTGAATAAAATTTAGAAATAAGTCATTCGTTGCTATTATAAATAGTATATCATAGGCTACATCAATAAAATAAACCTGGTTGTTTTCAAGTGTAACCAAACAAAAAAACAGAATCATAGCCAACTTCAACAAAATTTAACAAAGAAATCACCATATGCAATTCATGGAAAAAAAATACAAAACTGGAAAAACTAGAACCTAAGCCTCAGTAACAGGATACTCGAAAACAACATCTTTGCCTGAAAGTTTCCTGTAAACAGCAGCAAAGGTCTCCAACTTGTATTCTGTATTGTTTCTTTCCTTTGGGTCCAAAAACACCTACATCCACAGAAGCACAAGAATTAATTTAAAATTGAGGACAACAGTTCTTATTTGTCAGTGTTTTGTTCGAGATATAATATACATGACCATTTACACATTAACTTGGGATAAATAGAAAGTTTAAAATATTTTACCTTCATGACCTTTGACCCATCAATGCGGTATCTGATGCGTTTTCCAACAATCTCAGCTGGTAATACAACATCCTCCAGCATTGCCTCATGCACAGCAGTGAGTGTGCGGCTGCGGGGGCGTTGAGCAGCTGAACCCTTCTTAGGAGGCCTTACAATCCTCCTTGTGGCAATCAGGATTACATCCTACAAGTTTAAGGTTTGTTAGTAGACAAAATATTATGTTGCTTCTATCTGCTTGGTGTCTTACAAGCTTATGGTTCATTATGGAGCCTAATTTAGAAGTGGCCTATATCTGCTTCCTGTACTAACTTATTGTAACTTACTTTGAAGATTGGCCCATTAATCTAAAACATGATGGAGCCTAGTTTACCAAAACATAAACAAGATTATTTGGAATAACTTAATGCAATAAGTTAAAGATGTGCTACAATGGACGGCAAGAGATGAAAACAAGTAGAAAGTTCCACAAGCATCCCTAATAAAGATCAAAATTCAGGAGTGGAAAATAAATGGGCAACAAATAATAAGGATTTGAAAGCACGCCTTAGTAGTAAATGATTGATGATAGAAATAATAATGGTATATACAAGGAAATGACTATACCTTGCCACTGAATTTCTTCTCAAGCTCCCGAACAAGCCTGACATGAATCTTTCGGAAACCCTTCCTAAGTCTGTAGGGGACATGGATAAGCACAGCCTTGCGATTGCCAGACACATCAACTTGGCTGTAGAATATAGAAAACTATAGAAATTAATATAAGGAGTAAACATATTTATGTATCTTCAAACAAAGAACACAGAAAGACATTCTTACACGGCTGAATTGATATATAAATCCTTTAGCTCACTTTTGAGTTCATGGTTGGTATTCTCTAAATCAAACAACGCCTAAAGGAAACAAAAAATAATTTAACAATGATTAGTTTATATTTTGTAAATCACGCTCAGGGATTTTAAAGGTCGAGGCCACATTGCGGTCACAAAAGTAAGTAATAAAAAACCTGTCCAACAGATTCTTCAAATTCAGTTGGCTCGGCACCCTTGTCTTTGCTGATTTTCTTCCTTGAAGTGAACATCTTGACAACTGTGGGCAAAGAAGAAAAATTAGCAAACGTAAGCCCTTTATTAAGGTCCATCAAAAATACACAAATACCGCATATATATCAAAACATTGACGAAACTAGTTCATTATATAATTTAAACTATTTGCAGCAGTGTATCCATAGTAACAACAAACCTAATGACTCAACACGTTTATAATTTAAACTTCTTAACTGAATCGGTCACTGATTTCTTAAATTTAAACATTAATTTTAAAAATCGACTAATCATAACCTAATCTCAAATTAAACAAAGAAAGAAAAAACAGAAGAACTACACTTAGTCCGTAAGAGGAAAACGAGAATCTTGATTCTAATCACTTGGTATGAAAAGATCATAAAATCCTAAGAGGGAGAGCAAGCGGAGTGTAAGAGAAAAGCGTACCTTACCTGAAGGTGCAAAGTGCAAAGTCCGGCTGCAGGTTTCTGTGTGTATTGGCGTTAGAAAGAAACTAAACCCTAGAAAAAAGAACTATATACCTAGGTGTGTTTGGCCCAAATTGTTATTTTGGGCTTTTTCTTGGCCAATGTATATTTTTTACAGGATTTTATCCTGGCAACTCATTTATATTAGCACCTATCTATTGCTATTTTTATCGTAATATCTTTGTGATATTTACATTTTCAAAAATTAGATTTAATTATAATTTTAATATTTTTTGGTCTCTTAATTTAATTTTATATTTCACTTTTGTCTCTTATTTAATAAATGTTCGTTTTAAGTTTCTTAAATCAAGTTTCGTTAATTACATTGATCATTTTCATTAAATTTTTTTAAAATTCTTTTAGTTGAGCTGACATGACACTTCCCTTGGTATTAATTCAATTGACTCTGAATTATTTATTAATATTTTATTAATTATAATTTATTAAATAATATTTTATCCCCCACATCAATTTTTCTTTCTCCTTTTTTTATCTTCCCCAAAAACCTAGTTGTCACCTCTTTTACTCTCTTATTCCTCTCCCTTTCTTCTCCTTCTTCGACCATTAATTCAATTTCTTTCATATCTATTTAAATCAACCATTAAGTATTCAATGATTTTATCTTCATCTAGTTTTTTTAGTAAAAAATGTGGTTTAGTAGGACTACATAGAAATTGTTTGATGAAATTCCTCAACCACTTCTTCATTTGTTCTTGATTTCTGTTTTCAGTTAATTGTATTTAATTTTATGAATGGCTCAAAAGTTTAATTTTAAAACTCTCTTTTTTCTTGTAGGAAAATGACATAGCTAGATTTCATTCTAATAAGCATTTCCTAGTTGATGTTAGAGTTCAAATGCAGAATGAAGTCATATGTGATCTAATTTATAAGGTGGGTTCCTCATGCACATTGTAGACTGCTCTTCTATTTTTCAATAAGTTTTAGAAAATTATGTTTATTTTCTATTTATTGGTGTAAGCTAATTAATTTATTTTTCCAACTTTTGTATCCCTTTCAATTTTTTAATAATAGTTGTTGTTTTTTGTTGTGTTAAGATATTGGGACATTCTTTATAGGCATTATAAACTCTTCGTATAGTTATACAACAAGAGGAATAATCATTAAGGATAATAATGTTTTGAGAAGTCGTATGCAGATTAACCCTTTAATGAATGGTGTACTCGGTGTTTGAAGAGGAACAAATGATGCGTTTTGTTTTTTTATGTTTTGTTATTGTATGAATGATTACTTAGTTTTGCGAAAATTTAATGATTATTATGGTAGTAATGTGGTATTTTTATTTCTTTACACATTATTACATTTTGTGGGGTTTTTTTTAACCCCAAAATCAAAACCTCTTCAATTTAAATAAAATACTAGTTTTTTAATAGATTTGCTGACTTAGATTATTATAAAATGTCTTGTTGTCATTTCACGTAGGCAAAGTTAACGGATTTTTAGAAAATTTAACGGTGATGACCAATTTGACTAATAGAACAATTTTTAAGGGACTAAACCGTAACGTTTATTAGATGAGAGACTAAAGTAACATATGAAATTAAGTTAAAGGACTTTGACACTAATTAAGCTTTTTATTTATTTGTTTGTTTTTTTCCTCCATTTTAAAATTTGATTTAGGCTTAATATTTTTTTCGCTCCCATATCTTAACATTGAAATTCATTTTGATCCCGTAATTTTAAAAAGATTCATATTAATCTCTTAACTCTTCAAAACGTTCTATATTAATTCTTTTTGTTCTATTAACAACAGAAAAATTTGAAAATTATTCTCTAAATTTGTCACTAATTAGATAAAAAAAAACCTAGTATGAAACATTTTGAAGAGTTAAGAAATTAATATGGATCATTTTAAATTTAAAGGATCAAAATGAACTCCAATATTAAGATACAGGACCCAAAAAAATATTAAAATTTTAATTTTTTAATTTATTAATTTTTCAATTTTAATTTTTTAAGATTTTAACCTCAAATTCATTTGAGTGTCATTTTTTATATAATGACAACTGAATTAACAATAAGACAGATGTTAAGTGGCATAACTGAAATTTCATCTTAATAAAAATATAACTTACTGTATTTATTAAAGAACAAAAGAAAAACTTTAAATAAATTATTAAATTTTATATATTCTGATCAAATAATTTTTTTAATATATTATTGATTTTGAATTTATTTTAAAGGAATAACAAATTAAATTTTGCATTTTAATCAAGCATAAAACATGGCTTCAAGAACTAGCGCTACAACATTATTATGGTTTTGTTTGATAGAAATAGTTGATAGATGGTAGCTGATGACTAATAGCTGATAGTTTGTAGTTGATGACTAATAGCTTATAACTAATGACTTATAGATGATAAGCTAATTTGATTGTTTGGTAAGTTAGTGATTACATTAATGATAAATACAAAATAACATAAAAGGATATTTTTAATTAAAAGTTAGTAGTTCTATTTATTAAATTAATTTTTATTCAATAAGAATAAACGTATTAACAATCAAATGCAAAATATTTTAACTATACATATAAAATTAAACATATTGCAAAAATATATTAAACACTTAGATATAAATTTTGTAATGAAATTTAAATATCTAAAATAATAATATTGTAATTTGATCTTATTTTTCAATAAAGTGCATACTTCCTTCTCTTTTTTTCTCTTAAAATTCATGATATGTCTATTAACAAACAAATATATTCAATCTTTCATTATCATATTATAAAAATAATACATTAATATTAAAAACTTAAGTAATAAATAATTAAAATAATAATTTAAAAGTAATAAAAAATAATTCAATGTAATCAATCAAAATATTTCATTAATCAGAAAATGGAAGATGAGTTGCATCGTAAATTTGTTCGGTAAAAATAATGACTAACTTTTTTATTTCATCAACTAAAACACAATTATTTTAATTTAAATTATAACAATATAAAGGGTAAAAATAGGTTTTTGATAAAATGGTGAGGGTACAAATGAAAGAAAAAATCAGTTAAAATCTATAAGTTCAAAAGCTACTTCAAATAGCTTTTGAAAAAACAAAAGTTAAAAGTTAGTAAAAAGACTAAAAGCTAAAAGTTATTGAAAAAAACTAAAAGCTAAAAGTTAAAATACAATTACCAAGCATAGCTTTTTCATTAATGTGAGCTAAAAAGGTAAAAACTATAAATTCTTTTTTATGTCTTACCAAATAGACTCTATATTGGATGCAAATCAATTCAACAACTATATACATGTTGTTAATTACTTTGGTTACCCATTTCATTTGACGTTTCACGTGTTCGTGTTATTATACTTGGGTCTTATGTGTTAACACTATCTTATGTAATATTAATAAAACTCAATTTTAAAACTCATAACCTCAACAATATCATTTATTAATTTCAATATCATTTATTAATAAAACTTACTTTTTTTGAAATTAAACTCATTATCCATTTCAGTTGAAATGCATGTGTTTGTGTTATAATGCTTAGGTGCCTTAGGTCTTTTGCAGATAAACATATAATGATGAGTGTTACGATAATAAAGCTACCTATCAAAATCAAACATGAAAATCACATCCACTCCTTTATACTTTCTAGCTCTTGTTCCCCCAAAACAAAAACTAATTATTTCCATCTTCCCATAAACCCTAATTTTTCCTACTCCGGAGGAGGTTTCGTTAAGATTCTCAAGTGGATCGATTTTATATTGTGATTGTGAATCATGAATGGTTTGGATGTTAATCAAGAAAATTTGAGGGTTAGAAAATTATAGGTGGAAGATATTTCAACTAGGGTATGGAAGTCAATAAAAGAGTTGGATATTGAAGGGATGAGGATGATGAGGTGTTCAAAGGTATTGTTAGAAAAATGAAAGTCAGGGATCACAAATGTTGTAAGGCACAATAGGAGACTTAAATAAGGGTTCCATGAATATTGGGATATTCAACATTAGAGGGTATGACAATTCCCTTAAAGAATGAGATTAAGTCAAATTCTAGCTAAAGGGGAGGCAGAAATGTGCTTCATTCAAGAAACCAAGGTATAACGTAGGGAGGAGGGCATGGTAGCTAGCATGTGAGGATCTAAGAAGTGTGAATGGTTGGCGAAGGATTCAGATGAACTATTTGGTAGAATTCTAACTATCTGGAAGAAAGGATTGATTCTCCCCCAATTGAGTTTCAAAGGCAAAGGCTTTATATGAGTGAATGCTAAATGGAAAGGTATCAATTGTTATTTTTTGAATGTTTATTTGCCCTGTAATATAGTATATAAGAGAATTTTATAGCTAGATTTGTTACATTGCAAAAATTCCTTAGAACCTGGTGAGTGGGTGATTGGGAGGGATTTTAATGCAACAAAAATTAGGGAGGAGAGAAGAGGGAAGGGTAAGTATGATAGAAATGTTGAGATGGAGGAATTTATAAATTCATTGATCTCATGGAACTAATAGATTCACCAGTTATGGGGAATATATTTACCTGGACAAGCTCTGATGGGAAGGCTAGTAGTATGATCGTTAGGTTTTATTGTCTGA